TGTCTTGAGGGTTGCCCCCGTCGCCGACGCAAAACATGCGTGTGTATGTGTGTTGCTCCCCCCCAGCTTCAGCTCGGTGCAGCTCAGTGCAGCTCTGTGCTGGCGCTGTTCCCCCCCTTCGGCGCTCCTCCTGCCGCAGCCGGCAGCTCTGAGTGGCCCGCCTTCTTCTCTTCCTGTCGCGCCCGTGCTCCCTCTCCTTCTGTCCATTGCATGCAGCGTGTCCCCTGCTGCCAATCCGCCGGAGCAGTCGCCCTCTGCCCAGCCGCCGACGCTTGGCTTTCCTGCTTTGGTTGCCGCCTTTATGCGGTCTTGGTGCGCTCCCAGATCAGTTGCGCTGTTTGACAATGAAGTTAATTCTCTTGCACAGGGTGTCCAGGGCTCCGACCACTATTTCGGCACGGCACTCCGCCCCGACCCCTTTTTATTCCGCCCCGGCACAGAGCCCCCGCATCCCCCCAACCACCAGCCAGCGCGCCCCTCCGCCCCGACCCTGTATCTCGGCACGGCGCACCCCTCCGCCCCGACCCCTGTATTTGGGCACGGCACACCCCCTCCGCATCCCCCCCCACCCACCAGCCAGCGCGCCCCTCCGCCCCGACCCCTTTCTCTCGGCACGGTACACCCCTTCGCCCCGACGCTTTTATTTCGGCACGGTACACACCCTCCGCATCCCCCCACCCATCAGCCAACGCGTCCATCCGCACCGACCCTTCTATTTCGGCACGGCACACCCCTCCGCCCCGGCGCTTTTTATTTCGGCACGGCACACCCCATCGGCATCCCCCCACCCACCAGCCTGCGCGCCCTCCGCCCGGGCATCTTTATTTCGGCACGGCACACCCCTCCGCATCTCCCCACTTCCCAGCCAGCGCGCCCCCTCCGCCCCGACCCTTTTTCTTTCGGCACGGCACACCCCTCCGCTCCGACCCCGTGTATTTCGTCACGACACACCCCTCCGCCCCGACCCTTGTATTTCGGCATGGCACACCCCATCCGCATCCACCCACCCACCAGCCAGCGCGCCTTCCGCCCCGACACGTTTACATCGGCACGGCACACCTCTCTGCCCCGACTTCTTCATTTCGGCACGGCACACCCCCTCCGCATCCCACCCACACCCGCCAGCCAGCGCGCCCCTCCGTCTCGACCCTTTGTATTTGGGCACTGGACACCCCTCCGCCCCGACGCCTTGTATTTCGGCACGGCACCCCCCTCTGCATCCCCCCACCCACCAGCCAGCGCGCCCCCCCGCCCCGACTCTTTTACTTCGGCACGCCCCCCCCTCCCGTGCGCCCCCTCCGGCCCGACCCTTTTATCTCGGCACGGCACACCCCCTCGGCATCCCACCCGCACCCCCCAGCCAGCGCGGCCCTCCGCCCCGACCCCTTTATTTCGGCACGGCACACCCCGTCCGAATCCCCCCACCCACCAGCCAGCCCCCCCCTCCTCAGCATCCCCCCACTTACCAGCCAGCGCGCCCCCTCCGCCTCGCGACACCTTTATTTCGGCACGGCCTCCACTTTCTCCCCGCGCGCCCCGCGCGCCCCCTCCACATCCCCCCACCACCCACCAGCCAGCGCGCCTCCCCTCTTATTACGCCCCCCCCCCACCCCACCCACCCACCCACCCACCCGCAAACCAGCGCGCCCATCCGCCCCGACCCCCTTTATGTTGGCACGGCACGCCCTTCTGACCCTCCCCCTTCCTTTTTGTGCAAGGGCCATGGCACACGTGCCACTTGTTTGTCTTGAGGGGGGCCCCCGTTGTTCATTTTAGAAGTAATAACTGAACAAGCGGTGTGTGCGATATTCAAATATATTACGTAAACAAAATACGCCCCCCCCCCCGGGAGCGTCCCCCACCTCCCGAACATCTGGGGGCAATCCCAGTGCCGCGCCCCTGGGCACGCCCAAGGCGGCCCAAGACGCCCGCAAGGACCCCCCCGAACGCGAAGACGGCTCTCCAAGCTCCAAGCATGCCTCCAAGAGGCACCAAGAAGGCTCAGGGGCGTCCTGGGAGCACCCGAAATGGCCAACATCTTTTTTTGTGTATTACCCCCCCCGCGTTTTCGAGCTTCGAACGCTCCAACACGGTTGAAAAAAAAGGCCCCCAAGACAGCCCCAAGACCGCCCAATAGCCCCCAAGCCCGTTCCAACACGGGCCAAGAAGGCCCCAAGACGGCCCCAAGACGGCCCCAAGACGGCCCAAGACCGAGGCAGCCCAAGAGACCCCCAAGATGGCCCGCAAAACCGCTCAACAGAACGCACATCGACAATTCTTGCAGTCCGCTCCAAGAGGCTCCAAGGAGGCCCCAAGTGTCCCACAAAGAGCCCGAAGAGGCCCCCAATATGTGGCCCCAAGAGGCCCCCAAACAGCCCCCCAGCGGCTTCCAAACTGCCTCCCAAGAGTTCCCTGCACACCTCTTAGGCCCCCCTGGATTCCTGCGCGCTACATGTTAGGAGACCCCGGATGGAACAACAATTCCAGTGATTCTCAAGTTCATCCCGAGCCCCATCAAGATTTCGGGGTCACACTGCACATACTTTTCGGGAATGCTGTTGAACTCTCCGACGCTGTCTTGGCACTCTCTTTGGTCGTCGTGTCCTCATGACTGCCCCTGAAACCACAGTAAAAATCGAGCTCCCATGAGTTCACCTGTCCAGCCTAGCTAGAACGCCAGCGCGCGCGTGCCAAGAAAGAGACGAAAGAGTGGATCCTCCGAAGCCTTACGAGCGCATGGCCCCAAGGTGACCTCAAGGTTCTCCCAGAGGTTCTCGAGGCGCGGAGACTCCCGGGAGGCTCCCAGGAGGCACCAAGGGCTTCCCAAGAGGCCCCGAAAAACTCCCAAGACGCCGCCAAAAGGCCCCCAGAGGCGTCCCAACAGTCCACGTCCTGTATCCAGGAAATTTCCGACCCACGGCCCAGGCATGGCATTAAACAAATAATTATAATTTTGATTATTGTCAAACTTTCCCCCTGCTTATTTTCGCACAACAGACCATAATTAAGGCCCCCGACACCACCAAAGAAAGATCCCCGGAAGCCTTCGGGGGCCCCAAGTCGTCGAACACCTACAGGAATTTTATGATTTTGTGGTTTCCGCATTCCTTTTTCTATTCGCTCTGGAGGCTTGCGCAGGGACTCCAAGGTCGTTAGATGCACAAGGCACTTCAACAATGGATATTTCATACGTTAGCCTGTCGAGCCTAGCTAGAACTTGAGCGCGCGCAGAGAGAGAGAGAGAGAGAGAGAGAGAGAGAGAGAGCGAGAGAGAGAGAGAGAGAGAGAGAGAAAGAGAGAGAGAGAGAGAGAGAGATAGAGAAAAAAAACAAGAGAGAAAGTGATGGGGAGAGAGAAAAGCATCAATCTGTCAGGGAGTCAGGGACACCACTGCACAATGCCCGAGAAGTGAATATGGTCAAGAGGCTTACGCCATTCCGCCGACCCCCAGAAGAGGCGGGGCGTCCGTGGGTGAGGCGTCGGGGGCCTCTTGCGCACTATCTGGGGACTCTTGTGGGCGTCTTAGGAGCTGTTCGGGCGCCTGGTGGAGCCTCTTGGAGGCAGTTTTGAAGCGTCTTGGGGGCAGTTTCGGGGCCTCCTGGGGGCCTTTTGGGGCTTATCGGGGGCCTCTTTTGGGCCGCTTGGGGGCTTCTTGGGGCCTTTGGGGGGCCTCTTGGGCCGGAAAGATTGGATCTTCGGTTCGTGCTCTCCCTCTTGGTCTCTCTTGGATCCCTCTTGGGGCGACCTTTGGCCGTCTTGGGCCCCTCTGTGGGCCGTCTTGGATCCCTCTTTGTCCGTCCTGGGGCCCTCGTCGGTGCCTCGTGGGCAGTTTTGGGGCGGTCTAGGGGGCCTCTTGGGCTGTTTGGGAGCGCAAGAAGTTGGAGAAGACGATGACCTCAAAAGCAACGAACATATATGGAAAACCAATGGTTTTTGCATCTCGAGGTCCTCTCGGCAAGGTTATTGGGCCTCTCTTGGGGCGTCTCGAAGCGTCTTGGGGCGTCTCGGAGCCGTCGTAGGCGTATTGAACCAATCGTTCGGCGATTCGGGACCAGCTTGGAACGTTTTGAAGCTCGCGGAACAGATTTGGAAGCTCCGGAGTCTGGGGGTGCGCCGAGGAGCCCGGACTGCACCCCCCGGACCCCTCCCTTCTTAAACGAGATTTCGGACCATGGGGGAGGGGGAACTGGGGAGGGGGACAGCCAATCATCTCACACGCCTTCTCACCCCCAGCAAGCGGGGGTTGGCGGGTTGAGTAGGTTGTGGAGAGGGAGAAGGGAGGAGGAGGGAGGAGAGGCCCTCCCCCCCTTCTTCCTCTCCCTCCCCCCCATCACCCTCGCGCAAGCGCGCCAGTGCACGGTTCGATCGAGCAGGCAAGAAGCGAGCGCGAGACAGGATGCGCTCAGACCTCGAGCCCTCCCCGACCCCAGGCATGACGCGGCCCGAGCACCGGCTGCTCCTCGCGAGGGCACGGGGACGAAGACCAGGAGCTCCTCCCATCGGGGGACGTCCACGTCCCCATTTCTTCTCGTTGGGAAAAAGCCACGACAAGAGGTTTTTGGCCAGTTTCGGCTCCCCAGGGCCAGGACCGTCAACAAAACGACTCTGGATGGCAAACCAGTCCTGGGGAATGGGCCCAGGCCTGTGGGGGGTGCACGTCGTTAACAAAATCCCAGCGTCGGAGAGCTGGGGAGCACCTGACCGATCCTGGCGGGGCCCGCATTGGGCCCGGCACCCCGTGTGCACGCCCTCCTTCGAAGGGTGAATTACCTACCCCGCTTTCGCTTCCAGGCAAAACCAAGTCATACCACGCGCCTCCTCGTCAAGCGGCCTGACCAGTACAGACCGTAGTTCGGCATCGTTTGGTATCTCTTGGAAGCGAGGGTGGTCGAAAGCGAGGTAGGTTTGTTTTCCCCCTAACTCCTGGCCTGGCCAGGGAGGCACCGACACCACTGCTGGGCCCAGGGTGAGCCCCGCCGGGACCGGCACCGGGCGGTCAGTCTCCGTCCCCCGGCTCCCCCTCCCCCGCGGCGGGGCTCCAGCGCGGCGGCGGCCATGCAGCCCGCCCGCGCAGAGGCGCCGGAGGAGTCCCGCGAGGGGGCGGCCACGCCGCCCCCGCGGCCGCTGCCGGACGGGGCGCGCGTGAGGATCGGGCCCGTCGTCGCTGCCGCCGCCCGCCGTCGCCGCCGCCGTCGTTGTCGCCGTTGCCTGGCCGTCGGCGTTGTCGCCAGCGCCGTCGTTCCCCTTCGTGGCGGTGGTGGTGGTGGTGGTGGTGGTCGCCGCCGAGGTTCTGAGTTTTTTTTTTGCCTTCTGGGGGCCGCTGAGACCTCCGTGGGCCTCTGGAAGCGTTGCCTCGGGGGCGTCGCGCAGCAGATGGCGGCAGTCTTTTTGGTTGTGTTCAGAGCTGTGGCGTCCAAGGGGCTGTTTTTTTGGGCCGCTGGTACGATCAATGATCAGCCCGCAGCTGAGTGGGGCCCCGCGAGGCGCAGATGGGTGGGTCTGGAGCTCCCAGGGCCCAACGCCGTGAAGCGCCACGGCGTGAGGGGTGCTGAGAATGGGCACGGTTGCCAAACCCTGTCTTGGATGTTGGTTTTGGGGACCTTCCAGGGACCGACCAATCGGACCTACTTGACTCTAGCCCGACTGGTTCGACCATAGTTCGGCTCTGGCTCGAATCTAGCTCGACCCAAGCTCGGCTCAAGTTCGCTTCAAGTTCGACTCAAATCCGACGGACGTTCGACACAGCATCGACGCATGAGTGGAGCGAGTGGCTCCTGGAAGGTCTCCAGAACGAGTGTCTAACCTGTCTGGCTGCTGGCAGCCCGCAAAAGTTGCTGGTGGAATGAAGGTGATATAAGTGGACGCGAAGGTGGTTTATGTCTTGCCTGATCTAGCTAGGAAGTGGGTTACAAGTGCGCTAAGGGGCTCAGGGGATTGACTATGGGGGAGGCAGGACGGAGGAGGTGGAGGAGGAGGATCATGAAGAGGATGATGAGGATGATGATGACGGTGGTGTTGATGATGATCTTTCTGATGGTGATGATGCTGCTGCTGATGATGGCGATGACGATGACGATGACGAGACGATGACGATGACGATGACGATGACGCTGATGATGATAATGATTCTGATTCTGATTCTGATGATGATGATTCTGATTCATAATTATGATGGCGAGGGATGACGAGGATGACGAGGATGACGATGAGGGAGATGATGATGGTAATGATGATATGCTGATGATGATGGTGATGATGCTGACGCTGATGTTGTTGCTGATGATGATGAGTAGATGATGCTGCTGATCGTGGTGGTGTCGGTGGTGGCGATGATGATTATGATGCTGATGATTCTGCTGCTGATGATGACGATTACGATGAAGATGACGATGGCGATGATGGTGCTGATAATGAGGGTGATTATTATCATTGTTGTTGTTGTCGTTGTCGTTGTCGTTGTTGTTATTGTTGATCTGGTTGCTATTGGTGTTGCTGTTGTGGTTGGTGCTGCTGCTGTTTCTGCTGCTGCTGTTGATGTTTCTGTTGTTGTTGTTGCTGTTGTTGTTTCTGTTACTGTTGCTGTTGCTGCTGTAGTTTTTGTTTTGTTCTTGTTGTGGTTGTTTTGGGTGTTGTTTCTGCTGCTGTTGTTTGTTGGTTGTCCGTTGTTTTTTTTGTTGTTCATTGTTTGTCAGTTGGTTTGTTAGTCGGTTTGGTTGTTTGTTTATTTGTTTGTTGGTTTGTCTGTTTGTTTAGTTGGCTGTTCGGTTGTGTGGTTGTTTGGTTGTTTGGTTGTTGTTGTTTGTTGTTGTTGTTATTGTTGTTGTTGTTGTTGTTGTTGTTGTTGTTGTTGTTGTTGTTGTTGTTACTAACGACGCTTGCTGGCGCCGGTATACACGGAGTAATCGAATGCGCTTACTCCGTGTATCCAGTATACAGGTTCCATGAATAATCCAATTCGAATCTGCCTCGGATGCACAGAGTAATCGAGTGCGATTGCTCCGTGTATCCAATATGGAGAATCCAGTAATAATCCAATTTTGAATCTGCCTCGGATACACGGAGTAATCGAGTTCGATTATTCCGTGTATCCGCTACACGGAGTAGTCGATCGAGTGCGATTACTCCGGGTATCCAATATACAGGGTTTCAATAGGAATCCAATTGGTATCTGCTTCGGATACACGGAGTAATCGAGTGCGATTACTCCGTGTTTCCAATATGCAGGTTCCAGTAGGAATCCAATCATAATCTGCCTCGGATACACGGAGTATTCGAGTTCGATTACTCTGTGTATCTAATGTGCAGGTTCCAATAGGAATCCACATAGACTCTGCCTCGGATACACGGAGCAAACGAGTTCGATTATTCCGTGTATCCTATGCACGGAGTAATCGAGTGCGATTACTCCGTGTATCCAATATACAGGTTCCAATCGGAATGCAAACATAATCTGCCTCGGATACACGGAGTAGTCGAGAGCGATTACTCCGTGTATCCAATATGCAGGTTCCAATAGGAATCCAGTTAGAATCTGCCTCGGATACACGGAGTAATCGAGTGCAATTACTCCGTGTATCCAATATGCAGGTTCCAATAGGAATCCAATCATAATCTGCCTCGGTTACACGGAGTAACCGAGTTAGATTATTTCGTGTATCCCATACACAGAGTAATTGAGTGCGATTATTCGGTGTATCCAATATGCAGGTTTCAATAATAATCCAAACATAATCTGCTTCGGAAACACGGAGTAATCGAGTGCGATTACTCCGTGTATCCAATATGCAGTTTCCAATGGGAATTCAATTCGAATCTGCCTCGGGCACGCAGAGTAGTCGAGTTCGATTATTCCTTGTATCCGATACACGGAGTAGTCGATCGAGTGCGATTACTCCGTGTATCCAATATACAGGTTTCCAATAGGAATCCAATTGGTATCTGCCTCGGATACACGGAGTAGTCGAGTTCGATTACTCCGTGTATCCAATACGCACGAAGTAATCGAGTGCGATTGCTCTGTGTATCCAATGTGCAGGTTCCAATAGGAATCCAATTCGAATCTGCTTCGGATACACGGAGCAATCGAGTTCGATTATTCCGTGTATCCGATTCACGGAGCAATCGAGTGCGATTGCTCCGTGTATCCAAAATACAGGTTCCAATAGGAAACCAATCAGACTCTGCCTCGGATACACGGAGTAATCGAGTGCGATTACTTCGTGTATCCATTATGCAGGTTCCAATAGGAATCCACTTCGAATCAGCCTCGGATGCACGGAGTAATCGAAAGCGATTTTTCCGTGTATCCAATTTGCAGGTTCCAATAGGGTATCGGCCCGGACCCGGCTCCGGAATCGGCCCGGGAGGCCTTCCTCCCGGGCGGCGGAAGCAGAAATCCAGCATTTTCAAAGAAAGAGTGTGTATTGAAATGGCCTTTTTTCGGCGCCGCCGCGGATCTCGATTTTCCAGCGCCGGCCGGCACTACCCTGGAACCAGGCTTGGGACTCGGTTTGGGAGCCGGTCCGGAAGCTGGGACCCCAAACGCCAGGAATGCCGGGAATCGGCCCAGACCCGGGCCCGGAATCGGCCCAGGATGCTTCCGGCGCCAGAGGCAGAAAATCAGCATTTCCCAAAAAAGAATGTGTGTTGAAATGGCCTTTTTCCGGCGCCGCCGCAGTGCGATGACTTCGTGTATCCAACACGCAGGTTCCAATAGGAATCCAATTAGAATTTGCTTCGGATACACGGAGTAGTCGAGTGCGATAACTCCGCGTATCCAATATGCAGATTCCAGTAGGAATCCAAGTAGAATCTGCTTCGGATACACGGAGTAATTGAGTGCGATTGCTTCGTGTATCCAATATGCAGGTTCCAGTAGGGATCCAACCATTATCTGCCTCGGATACACGGAGTACTTCAGTGCGATTGCTCCGTGTATTTGATATGCAGGTCCCAATAGCAATCCAAGTATAATCTGTTACGGATACACGGAGTAATCGAACGTGATTACTCCGTGTATTCAATTTGCAGGTTTCAGTAGGAATCCAATTAGAATCTGCTTCGGATGCACGGAGTAATCGAGTTCGACTGCTCTGTGTATGCCGGCGCCAGGAGGCGTCGCCAGTTTGTTGTTGTTGTTGTTGTTGTTGTTGTTGTTGTTGTTGTTGTTGTTGTTGTTGTTGTTTTCGTCGTCGTCGTTGTTGTTGATATTGATTTTTTTTGCTGATCTCCGGAAGCGGTTCCGCGCGCTCTCGCTTCGACGCTGGCTACATTTCCTCTGAAAGCGAGGCTCCCGCTCGAGCGTTCGTTGGCTTGAGCCTAAATGTGGACCCTTGGAGGCCCAGCTACGACAACAACGGCTCCCGCTCGATACTTCCTCATAATGTACTCCGAGACACCGTGGCCCCGAACTCAGGAACGGCGCTCTCGCTCGAGACATCCTCGGAATTCAATAACATTGGCGGAGGCCCAACCACGACGAAAAGGGCTCCTGCTCGATACTTCCTCACGATTTACTCCGAGAGCCCCTGGCCAAGAAGGCCCCCGATCTCAGGAACGGCGATCTCGCTCGAGACTTTCCCGTACTTCAGGGAAGTTGTTGGAGGCCCCGACACGGCGACAAGGGCTCCCGTTCGATATTTCTCCATAGGTATTCCGAGAGCCCCTGGCCAGAGAGGCCCCCGAACTCAGGAACGGCGCTCTCGCTCGAGACTTCTTCGCGCTTCAGTCAGTGGCCGACAAGGAAGATATTCCCCCCAAAAGGGGGTGTAATCGAAGACGAAGTGGGCGGGTATTGAGGGTCGGGGTATACGGAATGCACGACACGCGTGCCAGTAAGAGCGAACAGTCTTAAGATTATTGTTGTTGTTGTTGTTGTTGCTGCTGTTGCTGCTGCTGCTGTTGCTTTTGTTGTTGTTGTTGCTGTTGTTGTTGCTGCTGTTGAATGTTAAGTACTAAGCAATTATTACTGTCGGACCCCCCAGGCGCTTTGACGCTTTCGCTTTGGCGCTGGCTAAATTTTCATTGAAAATGAGGCTCACACTCGAGCGGTTTGGGGGGCGCCAAAACGGCCCCCCCTAACAACAACAACAACAACAACAACAACAACAACAACAATAACAACAACAACAACAACAACAACAACAAC